GAAAAACTTGATTCCATGAAATGTGGCGTTCATTTAAGAAAGGCGACGTTACTTCCGGAACGACCTAATAGTTGCTGTCTATATTGTAAGCGTGCCCAAGATTGTTAAGCTATTGGGGATGACTGCTGACCGCTTGGGGCACCACTATTCGTAGTGAGAAATTAGGTTGGAAGAGCTGAACTAGATGTGCGAGTTCAGGCGTAATCGCCAGACATTTCTCTTTGCAATTCTTTGGATTTTTCCCTCGAATCCAAAGGCTTCTAAAAACTTGCGCGCTGCTGTTTGAGATTCGTGCGCTAAGATTTTTACCGAAACTTCAAAATCCTTCCCCGCATGTTTCTTACTCGGTAAGTGCCTAGAGGAGTGGATGTGCGCGATTTATCTTTGCCGTCTATGTGCTCTATGATTAGAACACTTAGCGGGCCCGCCGTTTCGCCTATGCATTCCTCGCCGCACTCCTCGCAAGAAATCAGATAGATGACCCGATAGCCGTGCAATCCCCGCCTCTGCACTGAGGGCAAAATGACGCAATCTGGCGTGGTGCAGGCGCGTGCAATCGTAAATACGATTGCGAGTTAGTAAGCTCTTCAAATTGCTCATAGGCAATTCTACAACTGTAACAGAACTTTGTCGTTGTTTCCAACAATTGTTCTGCTTCGATAGTAGCTGTTCCGCCTCCCTCTTTCTCCTAAGCTTTTTTGACAAGTGCCAGTGCTGATACTCAGACTAAGTTTATGCCAGAGATACATTCATTCTGTACAATGTAAAAATGGTAATGGTACAAACTACCAGGGAAATAGCCGCAGGGCTTGGAGGGCGTGCTGACCCCAGAAGTAACTTTGATGAATTTATAATGTAATGTAATGTAATGTATCTCTTGGTATGGTTACAAAAGAGCTCATACATTTTATAGATACTAGCGACCCTACGGGTCGCTAGCAAGTGGGTAGGGGCAGATACAATATAAGGGCTTAGTTGTGATTATAAGTACTTCCAAATAAGTTTTCTATGCCTTTGCTGAGAACATCTTTGCGAAACATTCTACAAAAGGAGAACTGTTCGAAGAAGCAATAATCTCCAAAAATCACTCAGCATTTCTCGAAATTCCTGCTGCAACCTCAACAATTTCTATAGAAGATCGTCAAGGAAGTAGAACACCTATCGTTTTGGAAGTAGAAATATCCACAACAATTGTGTACTACAAAAAACACTTTTCTCTCAGAATCAATCCGACAGCAACGAAATCAATCGTCTAAGAACTTTGTCAGAAAATTTTCTAAATTTTCTAATTTTCTAATTTCTTTCGCCAAAGGAATATGAAGCTTACTACATAAGTAGATCCCTCCCCGAAAAGCACACGAGCCACCTAAAGACCGTCAATCATAAGAACTGCATAAACGTACAAAAATCTGTTCCCCTGCCCGATCAAGTTGCCCTACGTGCCGCTTGAAAACAGTTCAAAAATTATAAGAACTGTCCCGAACGTACAAAAATCTGTTCCCCTGCCCGATCAAGTTGCCCTACGTGCCGCTCGAAGACCGTTCAAAATGCCCTACGTGCCGCTCGAAGACCGTTCAAACTGCCCTACGTGCCGCTTGAAGACCATTTAAAAATTATAAGGACTGCCGCAAACGTACAAAAATCTGTTTTTCTGCCCGATCAAATTGCCCTACGTGCCGCTTGAAAACCGTTCAAAAATTATAAGAACTGTCCCAAACGTACAAAAATCTGTACCCCTGCCCGATCAAGTTGCCCTACGTGCCGCTTGAAAACCGTTCAAAAATTATAAGAACTGTCCCAAACGTACAAAAATCTGTTCCCCTGCCCGATCAAGTTGCCCTACGTGCCGCTTGAAAACAGTTCAAAAATTATAAGAACTGTCCCGAACGTACAAAAATCTGTTTTTCTGCCCGATCAAGTTGCCCTACGTGCCGCTTGAAAACCGTTCAAAAATTATAAGAACTGTCCCAAACGTACAAAAATCTGTTCCCCTGCCCGATCAAGTTGCCCTACGTGCCGCTCGAAGACCGTTCAAAATGCCCTACGTGCCGCTTGAAGACCATTTAAAAATTATAAGGACTGCCCCAAACGTACAAAAATCTGTTCCCCTGCCCGATCAAGTTGCCCTACCTGCCGCTTGAAAACAGTTCAAAAATTATAAGAACTGTCCCGAACGTACAAAAATCTGTTTTTCTGCCCGATCAAGTTGCCCTACGTGCCGCTTGAAAACCGTTCAAAAATTATAAGAACTGTCCCGAACGTACAAAAATCTGTTCCCCTGCCCGATCAAGTTGCCCTACGTGCCGCTCGAAGACCGTTCAAAATGCCCTACGTGCCGCTCGAAGACCGTTCAAAATGCCATACGTGCCGCTTGAAGACCATTTAAAAATTATAAGGACTGTCCCAAACGTACAAAAATTTGTTCCCCTGCCCGATCAAGTTGCCCTGCGTGCCGCTCGAAGACCGTTCAAAATGCCCTACGTGCCGCTTGAAGACCATTTAAAAATTACAAGGACTGCCCCAAACGTACAAAAATCTGTTCCCCTGCCCGATCAAGTTGCCCTACCTGCCGCTTAAAAGTTCAATTATAAGAACTGTCCTGAACGTACAAAAATCTGTTTTTCCGCCCGATCAAGTTGCCCTACGTGCCGCTTGAAAACCGTTCAAAAATTATAAGAACTGTCCTGAACGTACAAAAATCTGTTTTTCTGCCCGATCAAGTTGCCCTACGTGCCGCTTACAGACCGTTTAAAAATTATAAGGACTGCCCCAAACGTACAAAAATCTGTTCCCCTGCCCGATCAAGTTGCCCTACCTGCCGCTTGAAAACAGTTCAAAAATTATAAGAACTGTCCTGAACGTACAAAAATCTGTTTTTCTGCCCGATCAAGTTGCCCTACGTGCCGCTTACAGACCGTTCAAAAATTATAAGGACTGCCCCAAACGTACAAAAATCTGTTCCCCTGCCCGATCAAGTTGCCCTACCTGCCGCTTGAAAACAGTTCAAAAATTATAAGAACTGTCCCGAACGTACAAAAATCTGTTTTTCTGCCCGATCAAGTTGCCCTACGTGCCGCTTACAGACCGTTTAAAAATTATAAGAACTGTCCCAAACGTACAAAAATCTGTTCCCCTGCCCGATCAAGTTGCCCTACGTGCCGCTTGAAAACAGTTCAAAAATTATAAGGACTGCCCCAAACGTACAAAAATCTGTTTCCCTGCCCGATCAAGTTGCCCTACGTGCTGCTTACAGACCGATAGTAACTATTCAAAAAGAAAGTTTAAGCCCTACGTGCCGCTTGAAGACCGTATATATAAGAAAAAACATCTACGACCCCTAAAAACAACGAAATCAGGTATTTACAGCGTATTCTGAAATTGCCGTACATGCTTTTTTTGGACTTTCAATTCTGAGAACTGCCCCAAACGTACAAAAATCTGTTTCCCTGCCCGATGCAATTGCCCTACGTGCCGTTTACACACCGATTCCTAGTTGAAAGCGCAGGCGGTACCCATTAACAAGCAAAAGCAAGGCTGTTATTAGATAAACGTTTCCAAAAGTACCAGCGAGACCAAGTTACTCACGCACTCTCTTGTCTACACGTGGAAGCAAGACGATCCTAAAGTGACTGTTCTTAGTTAGAGCATTTTTACAAGAGTTGGGAACTTAGATGAATTTAGCTTAAGTCACGCTGTTACGCAATTTGGCATCATTTCAAAAGCAACTAATAGAAGTACGACATATTCGGAAGACACATTCTGGGATAACAAGCTCGAAAAAAAAGCAGGTACAAGTATTAACACACCCGGATGGCGACCCATTCTCAAAATCATTGCGACACTCATGATTGCCTTTCGAAATACGTGTGACCTTTTTACGAAAATATGCTTGGTCACTCGTTTTGAAATTTGGCAGCGTTCCAAAACGCATGCCACTTGGCAGCGATCCAATTCCAAAGATCAGTGTATTTCATCATAATTTTTACGTCTGCGGCCTCCTCGTTTGCCATGATCCAACTATCAGCGGCTTAATGGGTAAACAACGAATTCGTTATATATTACGTAGTGATTTTTGGTAGTCTTATACGTCTTTGTAAATATTTCAGCTTATCCACAGTAGAAGCTTTCGTTTTTTACCATTCCAATCACTGTGCGAAGAAGCTGGTCTAATTCCTTGTTCCAGGAGCAGTATCCCATCGGGTTGAACCTGGTCTTGATTGTTCTGCTGAGGTTTCGACATCTTCTTCCAAAGGTAGAGTTGATTTCCACGGCTGTAAAGCTCGCACCACCTTTTATTCCTGGTCTAGGCAGTTTTTGTCTGGCAATATTAATAAAGTGAAACATATAAAATCCGATCGCATTCAATTTTAAGGTGAAGCACTATCTTGAAACTTCTCCGCAAAAGTAGCGCTCGAAGTGGAGTGTAGAAGCTTGCTCATTTTCGTGTTTTATCCTTTCTTCCAATTAAAATTATGTTTTTCTTTGACGGTGTAGTATACAGAATGCAGCAAGAAATGGGAATTTTGAATGAATTGTGGAGGATAAATGAGTTGTGGAAGGTTTCGCGTGGAAATTTCACCTTGGAAAACCTTTCCCTGATAGAAACTAGACGCCTCAAAATGGAAGCATCAAAGACTCTTACTTTTATTGGCGATTTATTTAACGTCTAAAAATTTTTTTGTTAGTATGGTACCTACTTTTGCCGAATGACAGATGATACGTTCACATCCGGCTATGAAGCAATGATTTGAATACGTTACTTGGCTCTACGGCCCTAAATAACATAGCATATAAATATTTATTCGCATTAGAATCATTACAGATTCGAGTCACAAAGAGTGTGTATCGAATAATTCACAGTAACACGATATAGCAGAAAGGCAGGTCAACATGTTTTCGAAAAATGAAAAGAAACTTGACAAGGAATGTATGATAAGGTAAGCAACAAATGACAAGTTCTGCTTGTATTTGATATGATACAGATAAAGGGTTGTTATAGTTAGGATTTCGCTTAAAACTACTCTACCAGGGAATACTCTGTACTTTGAAATAGTAGCGTGTTTTCGCTAGCATTATTTAAAGTTTAGACGGAACACGATCGCGTAACACTCGCCGCAGAATTTTTCCAGCGGGTGATTTCGGAATCTCTCGCAAGAATTCTACTCCTCCAGCAAGTTGTTTATGCGAAGAGACTTTGTCTGAAAAGGACATAATTTTTCGGTAATCTTCTAAACTAGAATATATACCTTTGATCCAGGCTTTTACATCTTCTTCGGTCAAGCTATCTGATGCTCGAACGACGAATGCACGAGGTAATTCACCAGAACGTTTATCAGGTATTCCGATGACTGCAGCATCACGAATTAAGGGATGTGCCAAGAGTAGATCTTCCAACTCGGCAGGTGCAACCTTAATGAGCATTTATGAAGAGACCTCTAAGTCATATGTGCGATTGCACAGTCCTAGCGCGAAGTCTATGATTTTGTCTGTCACCAGATGAATACAGGCTATCTTAATTGCAGTGTCGGGTGCAAGGCAGTTTGGGTGTCGCGCGGCAGCCTCGCCTAGAGCCTGCGCGGCGTTCGCAAGCTCGTCATCCGGTCATTTTCCCATGACTGAAAGGAAGACGCAGAGTCGCGTTTCAATCTTTTAGGCGTTGGAGAACGATTGGGGATTACGTCCTCGAACTCGTTGCAAGCCCAAGAGAGACAGCGGCGCTGGACCGGAGCCACTGTACACCCGACACTGCAACTGAGATAGCTGCACCCTCCATAGAATGGGTGCTATATTGTTTCCTCTCACTTACTTTTTTGGGGTATCGAGTTGGCCGAGCAGAACATCTGGCTAATTTGCTTTGGAATAATTCTTGCGTTTGCCAAGAGTTTACATATCAATTTTAACTATATCAATTTTAACTCTTTAAACTGTCTGATAGGCGTATATATTGATTTTAACTCTCTGGACCGTATAGGCGAGTTCTCGGAATAGCCACTCGTGCTCAGCCTTTATGAAAGAAATATTTATCTGAAATACTTTACACATGGATTGTTGATGTGTGCTATGGATAGCAAAGTTCACAGTCAATAGCCACTCCCGTTTTCTAATTTTTGAAAGACGAGTTTTTTTTTTCTGACAGAGCGTGCGCTGTTGCGTCAATGCTTGCACTTGATGGACGATGCACTTTCGCATAAAGGGTGACTAGTAGTTTTATTATTTATGTGATGAGGGGTTTGCAGTGGTGCAAGTGTAGTAAGAATGTGCGTGAGCGTAAGTAAGAGTTTGTAATGGAGCGAATTGTTGGGGCAATTCGACAACTAAATTTGTGGCTATGACGTTCAGTAAAATTTGATCTACCAAGCGAGAATATAAAACACTTTGAGAACAATAGCTGCCCCTCTTTAAAGGGCTACTTGACGCACGACTCACTAAAGCCTAAGGCATACCTCCAGCGATTCCGCCAAATCGCTACGTCCAGGCAACTTGGCGGTTTGCCAGATATTTATAGGTTAACAGTGCGCCCGTCTGAAATGCATAGGCGCGTAGCTTCTTAAACTCGTAACAAAAGCATCAGATGCTTGCACAAGCAAAGCGCGCTCAGGACCAATGATAAGCAATTGCTGCAGTGACAATCGCACAGCGATGGTATCGCGCGAAGTATGCCTTAAGGGCCGGGCATACTTCACGCAATTTCAGTCGCGAAGCGATTTGGCAATTTGCCAGAAGTCTTCCCAACTGTAGCAAACTGCATATGCATAATATGTACAGCTTACGTAAATTAATAAAATGACCAATCTTCTGTACATTTGGAATGTGCTTACAGTGAGTTATGCATAGTTGGAATATTGCCAAATCGCGTCGCGACTGAAATCGCATGAAGTATGCTCGGCCCTTTAAGCCTAATGAATCTGCATGTTAGAGAGATTTCATCACTGCGCAAAAAATTACAAGTGGAAAAACAGTAAGAGTTGGGTTGAAGAATTATGGTCATTACAGTGTCCGGAAAAAATGCCCCCTATGTTTTATGGTTGAAAACTGTCCTTCTTTGATGTCTTTCTCCTTTCTTAAAGTATCATTCTGTAGAACTGGCTTCCACTTTTAGATTGATATAAATTGCCTTGGATTATTTGCGTTTGCCATTTTAATTCTAGCTCTTTGAGCTGTCTGATAGGCGAATTCTCAGAATAGGGAAGAAATATTTATCTGTATTGTGGATGTGGGTTGTTGATGTGGGCTGGCTATGAATAGCCAAAGTTCACAGTCGGTAGTCAATTCTCCTGTTTTTTAATCGTTGCGGGAAAAAAGGTCGAGCTTTGACAAGAGCGTGCGCTGTTGCGTCAATGCGTGCGCTTGATGGACGATGCACTTTCGCATAAAGCGTGACCAGTAGGAGTTTTATTTATTCGCACATGTGGTGGAACGTTTGCAGTCAAGAAAGTGTAATAAGAATATGCCTGTTTGTAAGAAAAAGTCTTTGATGTTTGGCTCATAGCCCACCAATTTTTTCGCAAACTCACGCGAAATATTTGCAGGAAACACGAAGAAGAGGTGGCACAGATTAGGATAAAAAGAAAAGTATTGCCAATAGATTAGATGCTCCGCAGGTGCTTCCCAGGAAAAGGTAAAATTCCGGATTCACAGAAAAGTGTAAAAAATCAATTTTGTCGAAATTTTGATTCTAAGTTATTTCTCACGTTTGTCTGAAAAGCCTTGACATTTTACTCTGAGAGGGAACGAGTTGTTTTTACAGTATTTCCTACAAGCTTTTTATCGACATATCTCAAACAAGACCAAAGCGCCGCGTAGCGGCGCTTTGGTCTTGTAAGTGGATAAAATGTACAATTCATAAGCTATCATCCTGGCGCTTTCAGCTATGTATTCCAAATTTCAACTTATCCAGCATTATTCAGACAATGTCCGACGACATACGTACGGTTCATGCTAATTTGATATAGATTAACCTGACCGGCAAAGTTTTTGAGAAATGAGGTTTTTTCTTAGAGGTTACACCCGTGAATCGATTCACTATTACTAAAGCAGCAACTTTGGAGTCAAAATTTGTAGTTTGATCTACTTTGTAAACTATAAGACCACTCTCTTTTGCAAAATTTGCACAATCGCTCATGTAAAAATACCTTGAATTTACAACATAATCAAAGCAAAATTCATGAATAATCGACTATCGCTAGACTATGCAAATTCAGTGCCTAGTAACGGAATGGAGTACATGATACGTAACTCGTAACATTTGAAGATAAGAGTGAGATCGATGAGTATATGCATATGCAAGGTTAATAGTCAATAACTACACACTACTGCGATACCGCGAAGCAAAAATTTTTTACAACACATTCAGAATTTTTCATCGTGCTTCGTATAAATCTCTTGGCTAGACAAAATGCTGTGTACAGATAGTCCGGAAATGAACACGAACTAGGAGTTTTTGACAGACGTTCAATGAAATCCAGCATACAATGACTAACTGCGCAAGCAACAAAAGTTATCCAGAAATTATGGGACTCTGCTACAGAGATGATAGAGATATCCTTGTTTCTTAAATTGCTCTCAAGTTTTTTTACATAGCAAATTCTCGAATGATTAGACACATATCCAGAAAATGTTTGCTGATAATCATAGGCCGAGTTTTTTCGTCAAACAAAACTATGATTTCATCTACTAATGTTGATGGTTTAATCTACTGTTTTGACACAAATTTCTATGAAGCTTACGGTTTATGCATTTAAAAAAGCATATGCAGCCGTCAAAGAGATGTTTGCTCAAATTCATATGTAAGAACGTACTGATGATTATCACTCAGTTTCTCCGTAGACTATCTCATGATGCTCTGAAGCAATGAGTACGGTTGATGAGTGAAGTGAAACTGACATGAATGGCGACCGAAGCATACGTAATGCAAGGTGGTGTCTATATGATGCAGTTTTTGAGGCAAAAGGTTACTTATTTGGCTTTGCGACATCTGAATTCCTTTGTTTTCAACTTTTTAGTAAAATTGACCTTTCAAAGAAAGTTCCAGAACTGGCTAGTGCTCTCTGAACCCTAAGGGGTGGCTTGCCCCCAGCAGTAGTGAATCGTTCTTATATGGACTGAATTGCGACAAATTCTTTTGTTTTTGACTTTTTTTGTGAAATTGACTTTCCAAAGAAAGTTCCAGAGCTGTCTGGTGAACATGCTCACCGGCAGTAGTGAATCGTTCATATATGGATTAGATTGTTGAAAGAACGGAACTCGTTGAAATAGGCAACTCTATAGCGTTTTTAATTTTTTTTTGTGATAGATGAAAGTGCATCTTACAGTGCTAAAATTAAGACTGGAGAAAAAGTCAGAATGCAGCGATTTGTTAGGTTACGATATAGTCTTATGCGACGCCTTTGACACGGAAACAATGTTTAGAGCTGAGACAATGATTGAAACTAAACAGATCTCAGAGTGCAGCAAGGTCGATAGATTTTAGAAGATCAAAACAATTTCTGCATTTCTGTGCAACAACGAATTTGACTTGGAAACAATATTTGAAGGTAACGATATAAGAACGAAGAAGGCTTGAAAGCAAAGCCAGCAGTTCTTGAGATAGATATTGATCCCCTAACTTGTTTTACCATTTTGACATGAAGACACTGTTGGAGCAATGAATTAAGCGTAAAGAAGAAAAAACTCATAGAGGGAGAGAGAAAAAGACCGATTTCCGCGTATCTAGCGCTCAAAGCTACCAATAAGCATGGAGGGAAGAGCTTTCGGAATGTAAACACGATGATAATAGAAGTGATAGAGCAACCATTGGGACAGGAAGAGATTTGGGATAGACTTCAAAAGATGCAACAGTAATGATGGATAGAGAGTGTTGGGATGAATACCACTTTGACTTTGGGTACGGTTGATGGGTGAAGTGAACCTAACATGAAAGGCGACCGAAGCATACGTAATGCAAGGTGGTGTCTATGTGATGCACAGTTTTGGAGGCAAAAGGTTGCTTATTTGGCTTTGCGACGTCTGAGTTCTTTTGTTTTTGACTTTTTTTGTGAAATTGACCTTTCAAAGAAAGTTCCAGAACTGTCTGGCGCTCTCTGAACCCTAAGGGGTTGTAAACATGCCCGCCGGCGGTAGCGAATCGTTCAATGGATTGAATTGCGACGAATTCTTTTGTTTTCGACTTTTTGTGAAATTGACCTTTCAAAAAAAGTTCCAGAACTGTCTGGTGCTCTCTGAACCCTAAGGGGTTGTAAATATGCCCGCCGGCGGTAGTGAATCGTTCAATGGATTGAACTGCGACGAATTCTTTTATTTTCGACTTTTTTGTGAAATTGACCTTTCAAAGAAAGTTCCAGAACTGTCTGGTGCTCTCTGGACCTTAAAGGCAGCGTACACCCAAAATTTCACCTTCGATGTTTTTGTCATTCTGGGGCTTTTCCGTGCCGCTGATTACAGTTATGTCACTGAAATCCTCCAAAAGTCCTAAAAACCCCTATTTCCGGGGACCCTCTCTTCAGGGGCGGACGAGTTTCGAACTGCTTGTCCCCGTCGGCATGCCAGCAGCTGCAACAGCATGACAGCCTGCAGTTGCAACTGCAACTGCTGCATATGCTGTCGTGGTTCGTCGCCCGAAGGAGGAGCACCGCAAAAAGCAACTGCACTGTTGCAACTACAGTTGCAGATGCAACAGCATTGCAGCAGCAACTGCAACGGCAACTGAAGCTCACGCTGTCGTGGATTCGTCCGGAGGAGGCGGAGTGAAAGAAAAGGGGCGGGATGAAAGAAAATTGAGGGGGGTTTTCTCCGCTCAGAAGCAACATTGGGAGACCGGACCAACGCAGTTGGTCTTCTTCTGGGGCCCAGTATATACATGGTATAGAAAGATCTAGGAAATTCGGTAACTTAGATTTTGGGTGTACGCTGCCTTTAAAGGAAGCGTACACCCAAAATCTAAGTTACCGAATTTCCTAGATCTTTCTATACCATGTATATACTGGGCCCAGAAGAAGACCAACTGCGTTGGTCCGGTCTCCCAATGTTGCTTCTGAGCGGAGAAAACCCCCCTCAATTTTCTTTCACGACGCCTCTTTTCTTTCGCTCCGCCTCCTCCGGACGAATCCATAACAGCGTAAGCTGCAATTGCAGTTGCAGTTGCTGTTGCAACATCTGTTGCATTTGTTTTGGGTGTACGCTGCCTTTAAGGGGTTGTAAACATGCTCGTCGGCAGTGACGATGTCACTGGTGACGTCATCGCCGGACATAGCCACATGTTTACACTTGATGGGGGGGCCTGCGAATTATTATAGTAGATGATAACCAATGTAAGCCTTTCTTTGGAAACATCTAAAGTAATCTTTAAGTTGACAAACCTGTAATCCCTTGACTTTAATAAGTTCCTTGAGTCGATCGACAATAAATAAATTTCTATATTCGTCCACATAGCCAATGTCACCTGAAAAACGGAGAATTGGAATTCTTACACTGCTCACAATCTCGCACATGTGGTCTCTTTTTCGTATTCTTTTGCATGGGAGAGGTAAAAGCAGTGTAGTAAGCAAACTTCTTACTGAGGATGTAATATTACAACGCTTCTGGATCACGAGCAGTACTTTTTTGAGCTAACCAGCTTGAACAGCAATAGCAACATTATTTTCGGCAAAGGAAAGGACTGACAATAAGAGAGGTGTTGAATAAATTAAATTAAAAAATAAATTCAACAACTCTATAAAATTGCACCGTGACCGTGCCAAAATCCGCACAATAATCATACATTCAACTAATCATTTAGCACATTTACATCACAAAGTAACTAATCAACCAGTTATTTTCAACAATATTTACTTAATGTAAAATGAGTCACAGCGAACTGCGCTATGCGATCCAGAAAGCCTACCAAAATTGCGTAATTTTTGAGAAAAAAAAGATAGTTGTTACGTCTTTATAAGGGTAGCATTCTTAGCAAAATTGCTTCTATATATCTTTTTCTAATTATGGAAATAAACAAAAATTCTTGAAAGATGAATGCATAATATTCTCGTCAGAAAATTGTTGCAAGATCTTGATTCAGAGCCAGTGCATCTAAAAGTTATAGTAAAAAAGGAACCTGCTCTTTATATGTGATCAGACGTAGTACCTTTCGTAGAAGCACCAGTTTATAGAGAAAAAGTCAATTACTTGAGAATATTACCTGTATGCAGCCAACCGTTGATGATCGTGCTTTTTGTTGCATCTGGCTTGCCTAAATAGCCAAGCATAACCGTTGGTCCCTTGATGCAGATCTCGCCAGGCATTCCTGCCGGCATTTCCTTCCCAGTCGAAGGATCAATTATCTGCAAACTATGAATTAATCAAATGGTTCTACCGTAGTCAACAATTTTACCTTCATTCGTAAGTTTGAAGCAACTTTTCCTACACTTCCGAAAGGGACATTGTTTTTGAGATCCGGCACATGGGATGCCATTGTGCATTCTGTCATGCCATAGCCTAAACTCATGAAAATGAGCTAAAAATAAGTTATTTACCAGCAATTAATCTACCAGCTATGAGCACAAATGCTGATATATTTTTTTAAATTTTTGCTTGCTTTTATTCATTGATTTGAGTTTGATCCTTCTCGCTCTTTTTGGTATGGAGTGCTGGAAAAGAGGGAAGGGGGGGGGGGATAAATTGTTTGATTCTGATCCCTCGCCGAAAAATATGTGGAGCAAAGCAACGATTTTTTTTCTGACTGGTTCTATCTTTATTTTGAGATGGCTGCAAATTTTCCAATGTCCGTGATCCACTCGTTTCAAAAAAATTTCTAAAATCAACTATAATTTCAGCACTTACCCACGATGACATGTGGCTTCATAAAGTGGTAGAATACCTTCACAGGACATTTTCTACACATTTTCTAGGTTAGCAAGAATAGACTGGCGAACTTTCGCTAACTGGTCCACGACCTTGAAGGAGGTGCGGATACCATCCACCTAATAGTCCAGCCCACGTCAGGTGCGCTTTCCGGCACCAGTCAGACAAGGGGAAATATCGGAGGGAAGGGGAGATCCAGACAAGAGATCAGCTGTTTCTGGCGTATCACGTATCATGGGATCGGTCAAATAATAGCATCAGCGCAAAAACCATTACCTGATGATTGAAATCGACAGCTGCAAAAATTGATAGCTAACCTTGTGAAATGTACTTGATATTTTTATATTTTTTCGACAACTCCTCGCATATATCTCGACCAGCCGGGGCTGCTCCACAAATTAGCACTTTTATTGATGAGAGATTGTACTGATCACAGATTGGATGCTTGGCTAGAAACACCAGAATTGGTGGTACGAGAGGTAGGAGTTGGATCTGCAAATAGTATTTAATTATGTTCTCATTGTGGACAACTTAGACTAGTACGCAAGTATCTGCCAGTGTACTATATATGTGCATGGATAGTGTGGCAGGCTACCATAAAATCAAATACTACTTCTATTTGTCACAATTATCACTAGATTATATTTTATTTATATTATTTTATGTTTTCAGTCAACAAAAAACTACCGCTAGATAACTTAGCAAAAAACGGGGATTTGTTACTTTTTCCAGAGATTCGTAACACCTAAATCAGGTCAAAAACTCTTGATTTGGCAGTGGTTCACTGAGATTTTTGTAAACTTTTTCAAAGCTGTTGAGTTGATAAACAGGAATCCAAAGCTTAAAAACGCTACTATCGTAAGTGTGCTGATCTATTATTGCTTGCGGCGCGTATCTTTGTTTAGATGAAGCAAAAAATGGTGAAAGTAATTAACACATTGACGAGAATGTGACCCATATGTGGGTCGTGCAATGTCTGCCACTTGGGACAGTGTGACAGACATGGTGGGTCCATTGTCCCAAGTGGATCATGGCTTAAATTTTATTGAAAAGACTGCTGTTTTGAAATACATTTACTTTGGAAGCTTGTTGACGATAGCATTATTTTAACTAAAAAAATTTTCGACTTATCCGCAGAAGGCATTGTCTCAAGAAGCAGACCAAACGCACGCTGTCGTCAACGTATTAAATAAACTTAGTTCGAAGTTCGAGCCAAGCTGACCTTCTAAAATTGAGAATTCATTCCAAAAAAATTATAGATATTACTGTGACAAAATGTTTCTAGATGTAACTTTCGACAAAACCGCGTTTTTCTCTTACTTTATAGAGTTTTTGTTGTCGCCCAATACTTAAGACTTGCGTTGAATCTCAATAAAACATCCCACGTCCGCATCTGGAACAGTGGTTTCACAAATTCATAATCTTATGTTCCTCCTTGTGGAAAAAAAGTTCTGCAAGCATGGAACAAGCCAATTTTGAGCCTATACATTGACACATGAATATATTTTCGCTTTGCTTATTGAGCCGTCAAAGGGACCCCTCCACATTGCTTTCGGCGATGTTTTGCTTGGTCTTTTCTTACAATTAGTAAAAATTTGCGATGTTTTCAACAAAAAGCTTGGTGACTTTTCTTGCAAGAGTACCTCAAAGCTTTGCACTTTTCTGTTTTATCACGGATTGTAATTGTTTAGTACAGCAATTAACGCTCATTCGTAAAGTGTACTCTCGCAATGAAGTCAGCGAATCCAGTTGTCTCTTTGTGCAAGTTCAAAATCATCGCAGCTTATCATTGTTAGTAGATGAATTAATTAGTTCAGTTCATTTGGAATGACTTCTTCCTGTTCTGAAAATTAGCTCGGAAACGACTGCTTAATGTCATTTGACCCATGTAATACATATACAATTATTAGCTCAATTCAAAAATTTTCCAATAGCGGGAAACCGCGGCGGGTCCCGAACGCTCTACCAAATAGCACCTTTAGATTACTGGTTCACTAGTCCATCATAAAAATAATGTTAGTGAACGAAAATAGAACGGCATACAGGATCTCCTATCCTTACGCTGCAGCTTTGTGGTCAGATTTTATGTTCTAGCTCCAATATTTCTGTTTCACAGCTTGCAGAGTTGGCTTCAAAGCTGCAGACATATTGTAAAACTTGCAGAAACTTTACGCTCACGTGTTGCACTACATTACAGTATGCACATTTCGTTCTTGGCGCAAAGCAGTTATAAAAATAGCAGCTCACTTTATGATCCTGTATCGCTCTGCAGAACTGATTGGGTTCGAAATGCTTGAAAACTACTCCTGTTGAGCCTTGCAGCAAGCTAAGGTTGAGGAGACCTGAATGCTTTTACGTCTTGTGATTTAAAGCGCAGGAAAGGAAAAACGAACCGAAACCGAAGGCATGATAAAATGGGAGAAACAGCATTAGTTTTTCTCGTTGGTAATCCCAGTCATTGGCAATGAGAGGTACAATGTTAGTAGCTTCGTGTCTGAATAGAACATAGTTCAGCGCGGGGGGGGGGGGGGGGAATAAAAACGTGAAAAATCTTTGTTTTTTATGAATAGAACGCTCACTTCAAGTATATGTTCATCATCGTACCAAAATTGCTATGAGAGAGCATAACACCTTTCGGAGAGCCTGTAGTGCCACTAAACGAAAGCTACAGTAATAGGCAACTCATAGTATTCAAACACTCGGCTGTGTTGTTGAAAGACTAAAACTCGCTCTAAAAATTTCAGTTGTCTCTTACCTGGAGTAGGGTAAGATTATCATATCTTTATCCAAATCAATGTCAGCTTTTGGTACGGTCTTCGGATTGTAGCGAGTTCTTACGACTTTATTCCAGCTCACAACTCCTTCAGGGACTGGGTGGTCGTCCTCTTTGGGTATGTATATCACCATCTAAAAAGAAATCATGCTAGTTATTAGCTGCAGTCAACATCAGTGTGCTAGTATTCGATTTATACCAGTTTCAGTATTTACACTACTTCCGTTCTTGCGATGCATACTCAGCTCGTGCTATAGACTTCGAATTTGCGAAAATGGTATCTATTGGGCACTCCAATAGCCTGCCCATTCAGCATGCCGAAAGACAAAAGCCTGGATAGGGAAACACACTCTGGACTCTGCCAGCCATAAAGAATGCCCATAAAGTTGCTAAACTAAGAATGTTGTCGCGGATTCGCGACTTCCTTTAAAGGAGGCCGCCGTCGCGTTGCGAAGGGTCCCAAAACGCCGTCCTCGCGCTGTCCCGCCTCTCACCTCTCTCACCTGCGCAGCGTTCAAATAAGTCACGTAGTCAGTCTTCACTGCTGTCGCCATCGTGAGCGGTCGGGTTCCAACTTCGTCTCAAGCCATCGATCGATACAGCGCCTTCCCCAACTCACGCGTCATCTACATCCACGCCATGGAGGACAGGCAACCCTGCAGTCGAGGTAACCCCGTGCGCGCTCGCGCCTGGCACACGCCGGCGACACCGCCACGGGGGGTTTCCGATATTGCTGGCCCCTAGGTTTCTAACAGCTGGCTGGTTGTTTTCATCCCTTGTGTTTGAGTGTAGGGTCTGTGTTAAGGATAAATGGTGGGTAGTTGATAACTTGTGGTTATTGATCGATGCGGTGGACTGCAGCTCGGCTGCAGCCCCGAGTAATATCGTGTTGTATGTTTTTGTCGTCATCATCTACAGTCCAGATGGTTAGATCCGTGAGAAGACTGGCACGATGCCGGCTAGTGCCAAGTGGTGATGGCATGCCCCAAGTGTCAGTAGTGGGAACGGAGTCAACGCCCCAAGCTGCATTTATTACTAGGTGAGCTGGTAGCTCAGGGCCCCTAAGAGTCAGGCGTTATGCCGTGTGGCAGGCACAATAGCATTTAGTGCAGGCTAGCTACCGCCCCAAGTGACGTGAACCCTTTCACGGAGGGGGTCCCCGGCTCCCATACGCCGATGCAGGTGAGCCGTATCCACTGACGTGAGGAGCTGGGGGCCCAATCCGCGACATGGTGCATCGTGACGGAGTTGGGCATAGGGATAGCAAACCTATGTCTGGCTTTTGCGATCGAGCCCTGCCTGCACAGCCCACGCATACACACCTTACACATTAGTGTCCCCCAGCTAACAGTCTAAATTCTAAATTCGGGATGTTTGCACAGTGTACGCATACTTTGCTGCTCCTTGTGCTCCATGAGAGGACTCATCCTTCGTTTCATCAGTAAGCTCCGTAGCGACTAGGCTGACGCGAATACGCGACTACCCACAGTTCCACTTAGATTGGGAGTAGGGTGATCCCGTAGACCTGACGTGGCAGCAGTAATCTACGCCCTGCCTACTGCCCGGGACTGTCTGGTGCCTTCTGATGGCCAGGTTTTTTCGCATACATGGAGGACCGCGGATAGCTCTGTCTGCCTTGAAACACGCCATCAGGCCGACGAAAGAGCCCTGTTTGTTGGGTTTGATGAGAGCCTCGCCCCAAATTACCTTCTTCTTTCGCGCATCTATGCCCGCATTGTGCATTCATTCCCCCTTTTTGCGTATCTTGTGGTACACCTAGCTATCACTTTGTTTCTTGCGGTTTCGTTGCCCATTCTCTACTATTGCCACTTTCGCCTCATACTCACATCCGGGGTTTGCGTTCGTGTTGTTGTTCACCGCTCTTTCAATTTCACTCGTGTTCTCGTACTTACCATTTATGTGGCTACTCCGTCGAGTTGTCACTGTTCCTTTGCACATTTCCTACAAATACAACCTTCCAGACTTTGGGTTAGCAGTTACTACCTCCTGCACGCTTTCGACGTTCTATTATCGATCGGCATGGCTACTGTGACAACTGTGGAGTCCTACCTTCCAAAGGTCGTCAAAGCTATTGAGGACCTGCAGGCTGCGAGGAAACAGGTAAGTCCAGACTTACTTACTCCTTTAGTGTCTGACGCCCCAGCTGTCGAGCAACTCCATCAGCTCCAGCAACGTCAGACAGCCGCACATTACCACATAGTGGGTCTCAAAGCTGCACTTTCGCTCCTAAGGGAACGTCGTGCCTTGTTGCTGTATCACATCACTACATCCAACTCGCCGACGGACCAGGGAGCGTATAGCAAGTTCGAGGAGAAGTACGGTGTGGATCAACATCAGGCCGACACCGAAGCGCTCCTTCGTACCTTGCAAGACACCCAGGAAGCGGACAGCGAACAGTTTCAGACCCTCCGTATCCATCGACTCGCCAATTCCATCAGCGAGGATAATCGTATGGAGACGACAGGGATTGTGACGACGCCCCAGCGAGAAGATCGCACCCCCACAGATAACGCCGCACGTCTGCAGAGTGTAGACACACAGTTGGACGTTGTGCATCAGTCGGAACATCGTCAGCTCACGCCCACACAGACTGCCCCATCGTCGCAGCACTTACCGATCCAGTTGGAGAAGTTGACGTTGCCGCACTTCGATGGAGATGTCACCAAGTTCCAGCAGTTTTGGTGTGCGTTCGAGTTGGCTGTACACAACGACCCCAACATCGACCTCAATATGAAGTACCTCTATCTGATGAATCTGATTAAGGGAGAAGCTCAAGTGGTATTGCAGGATCTTGAACCAGGTCGGAACAACTACCATCAGTTGGTGCAAGCATTGAGGAAGCGATACGATTGCCCGAGGAGGACCAGAGCGCTACTCCATCAGCAGCTCAGGGATCTTCAGCCCGCAACCGAATCAGCTTCGGACATGCGTAACACTTGGTTCCGGATTCAAGGTATCCTACATGCCCTTAAGCGTTTTGAGGATTTGAATCGTGTTCTTTGCATTATCGATCTCGTACGGACTAAGTTTCCCTTGGCTATCCAGGAGAGACTTAACAATGTCGAGTTCGAGAAGCAAGCCGATTTCGATCTTCAACAAGTCATGTCTCACCTTGATAACCTTATTTCGTCTAAGGAGAGGTTTGAGCAGACTTGCTCCCGCAGTAGTACCTACGTTATCAGTAGAGATGCTCCCCAAGGACGCTCATCAACGTCCACATCCCCCAGATCACTGTATAATCCAGCCGCATGTTGTTTCTGTGATTCCTCTTCGCACTCCTCTCGTAGATGTGACGAACAGATGCCAGTCAATGCCCGTCGCAAGATGGTGCAGTTACTGGGATTATGTTGGAAGTGTCTTCGAGAAGGACATCATCAAGATCAGTGTGATTATCCTGTGTGTAGGAACTGCGGAAACCACCACAATCGACTGCTCTGTAGGTATACGCCAAGGAGAAGTCGATCCCCAACGTCTAGATCGCCCAGCCACGGTTCACGACCAGCTTCGAGAAGACATCACTCCTCTAGAGACTCCTCCACATCGAGAAGCCCAGCACGGGATAGCAAAGGATCCCGAGATTATTCTCGTGATCACCGCTATCAACCGCGCGAACAGAGAGGATATCGTAGCAGATCGAGTTCCAAGTCCCATTCTCGGGAACATGAGTCATCCCGATCCCCATCTCCACATGTACGTTTTGACGTGCCCGTTAGAGACTCATCCCCCACCAGTCGACGATCACATTATTCCCCATCACCGGAACGACGCAGAAGACGAAGATCAGGATCGCCATATCCTGAGGAGGCAAGGACGAATGATCAGCTGTTGGTACAGTCTAATACGGAACATGAGGATTATCATCAGTGTTTCCTACGTCTACAGCTTCATTCGAACACTCCCCAGCTTCACCCAGCTTTGATGCTGGTGAAAGCCAAAGCTCGCACAGCCTCAGGAGACCTTCAGGATATGACCCTTCTACTCGATTCCGGCGCACAGACCAGCTTTATCACCACATCTGCGGTGAAACGACTAGGCCTTCGTGTCTACGACCATCAGCCGATCACGTTAACGACTTTTGGAGGACATGAGACCACAGAGATTTCTGGTAAAGCTGACCTCACACTTATCGACTCATTCGATAAGGAACTCACAGTCTTTGTATGCACCAAAGACCAACTCACACGCCCCACTACCCCACCAGAATTGTCCAACGAGGATATCGACTTCATTCGTCAGTGTGGATTCGATCTTCCAACCTACCATAAGGATGTATCGATTAACGTCGACATCCTTATAGGTATTGACCATTTCTGGGACATCATCACGCAAGGATTGTCTGTATGCCTACCGTCAGGACTAGTTCTGACCCACACACGATTTGGTACCGTTGTCTCAGGTTCATCTTTTTTTCGCAGATCCATCCCGTCTCAACATCCACCGGGAGCAATCAATGGCGAGAAGAAGATGCAGACGAGGACATCGTTGCCAGGTTGTGGCAACTAGAGCGTTTAGGCATTACAGATCAGCCCCACGATAACGAAAACGCCATCGCCAATTCACATATCCTCAAGCATTTCGAGGATACCGCACGCTTCGATAATGGGTTTCTCTACGTGCAGTTTCCTTGGAAGGAATCCCATCCGCAGCTGGCCGACAATAAGCAGTTAGCCTATTGCCGACTAGTCAGCCAATATCACAGCCTACAGGAAAGACCATCGGTCTGGAGAAGTTACTGTGCAGCCATTGAAGAGCATCTGGAGTTAGGCTTTATCGAGGAAGTCAGTGAACAAGTTGCCGACAGTCATCTTGTTTACTACATTCCCCATCAAGCCGTCTTCAAGGAATCATCGGCTACTACCAAGTTGAGAGTAGTTTTCGATGCCTCATCCCATATGCGAGGAGTTCCCAGTTTGAATGACTGCCTCTACGAAGGACCATCTCTTTTGCCGCAGATAGCAGGAATTCAACTTCGAGCTCGGTTGCACAAGTTCCTTCTTATCGCTGATGTAGAGAAAGCATTCCATCAGATTCGACTACAGGTTTCTCAGCGAGATGTGACACGTTTCTTGTGGCTGAAGGATGTCAATCGACCTCCCGACAAGGACAACTTACG